GTGTGTGTGTGTGTGTGTGTAGGAGCTTCAGTATGCTGTGAGGCAAATGGCCCACACTGTTGCCGAACATGCTGCTTCATCAGACAGCAGGGGGCCTCCCATGGAAGGAGACGGCAACCTTTGTTACACAAGGCACGAACCCGCTGATGAGTCTGGGGTAATAGTGTACAAAATGTTCTAAATGTAGATTTCATTGTCACGTCGCTAATCTTAAGTCAACCTTGATGGAAATTGAAATTTTGAAAAAAAAACGAGATAGGAATCAAAAACCCAACCAAAGTATCTTTTATTTGACATTGTATCCTTTCCTCAGACCTCTAAGATGTCAGACAAAACTCCTCTGATCAGTCAGCAACAGAATTCGTTGGAGGTCAAGACACAGCCCAGCTCAGGAGAGTCTCTACAGTCATTAAAGGAGATTTGGGAAATACTGGACCATGGACTAAGTTCGTCTGTTTACTCAGAAGGTAACCTTATCTGGACAAAACCTTGCTCGCATTTTGTAAGATACCAACTCAATGAAAATGTAATAAATACACCTCATGTCTGTATCAAGGTGAAAGCGAGCTGAGCAGGAGCAGGTCAGCGAAATCAGTCACTGATGGAGTAATGGTGACCGGGACCAGCGCTCCCATCCATAGTGGTTCCCCAGCTGAGCTGCAGCAGAAGATGAACTCCTCCAAAGTATTGTCAAACCTGCCTAAAAACTGCCGGCATGGAGCCCCAGACAAAATCGGCAAGATCAGGAACTATAATACGAAAGACTGATTCACACATAGCATAGTTGTTTGACTTATACGCCATTATTCCCATTGTGTGATTTGTAAATTGTTTCCACATTCCGTGAGTACGTGAACAAGCGAATCATAATGAGAAGTACATGGAGCATGAAAGATTTACGGGAATTATGGAAAGACAAGATGTACAGTTCCAAATGCCCTTTTTTTTTACCGTTTGTAACTCAAAATTTTGCTTTTATTTATCCTAGAAAACCACACCAAAGCTACACCTTTTGGCTCTATCGGCTTGGTCTCTAAATCACCCATGCCATTTTTAGATATACAAATATACTGCAATATCAGATGTGTTGTAAGATTTCTTTTATTAAAAACAACAAAACGGAGCCAAAATATTAATTCAACTATTGACTAAAAGACAAAATCACTAGCCCACCCCTGGTTGCTGCAAACTCCAAAATAAACAAAATATGTGGGTGTGTATAAATATAAGAGGATATAAATAATAACAAGAGCCTTCCCTTTCAGTGAACTCAGGACGCTTTTGGATTTTTTTTTTTTTTTTTTGCTCTGTACTTAGAGTGGGTCAGGAGGAGTTTCCTCAGAATATCATGCGAGCTGAATTTATTGAACGACAGTAACCTCAGGAAATCACACGAGCATTGCCGGCTACGTCATCAGCTGGCGCCGCCTCGTAATCACGCTATCCCTTTTCCTGTTGTTTCTGATTGGATGAATATCCACACCTTCGCTACGTCATTGGGCAACTTGTGTGTCAAATCAATACGTGCGTGTCATGCACGTGTACCATTGGAGACTTGTTACCGGTAAGTTCACGTTCAATGTCGATTTACGTAATAGTAAACTTCGTTTGACTGATGACAGGTCTGACCGTGACCGGTTAATGTATACTTGCAGGCTACTCTAGGGTAAAAACAAGAGGTTGTCAAACATAAACACGTCGTTTTTTATGGAGCAAACTGCTGAAAACAAACAAACAAAAAAGCATTGAAAACAACTCGCTTTCCTACAAACCGTATGATAAAAACAAAGTAAAGACCGTATAAAATCAAACGACACGTCTCTAGATTGTATAAGAACAGTTCTGTTTCTAGACTATGAATTAGGTTTGCTTGTTTAGACACGAGGAGTGCAGATGCGTCATAATAACCACATAGTATTTCTGGAATGATTTTCTTAATTGTATTAACCACGCGGCATATTCTTTAAGCAGCGAATGCCACCATCCCATTTATCAAAGCAATCAAAGCGTCCTTAACTGATTTTTGTCTTAAAGGCACAACCGTCGAAGATGCGAAAATCTTTAGTTACGTCGCATGGAGACGCAGAGTGAATCTGCAAGGTCCGTTTGAACTCGACTAACCCTTTGGTGTCGCCACATTATTTTTTTCTGCATCTGACTAAAAGTGGGGTTGAATGAATTACTCGCTTCTGGCTGGATCCGAGAGCCCGGCCTCTTTTCTCATTGGACTGCTCAGCCAGACCAAGCCGTCAGCCCATGTGGCGTGGCCGGGCACAATGTGAGACATTTAAAATCACCAGAGGGAAGAAGAAAAAAAAACAGTCAAGTGCGGATGCTGCTTTTCACCTCTTTCAGAGTCGACGCAGTACCCCCCGCCCACTGTGGCGCAACTAGCGGAATAAACCGGAGAACACATGCCCCAGAAGCGCCTTAGCATCCCATCCAAGCGTTTGTTGCTCGTGACTTAAAAGGAAGGAATACGACACAGGTAAGCACGCTAACTTCCTCTTGCTAGCGGATTACATCGCCGTAGCGTGACTCGATTTTTAAACGTGTGATTGCGTCGATTTAAATAGTTCGACCTTACTGTACACATGAAAAAACGGTTTGTGCATTTGCGTAGGAGCGAACGGATAGGATGACGAAGTATCATGGCCATTACTGTACCTAACCTCGTGATGTTGGGCAGGGTGTGATGTCAAGTTGTCATATGAATTAATGATTCTAAAGTGGTTGTACACGTAAATTGTGGCCCTGTGTACCACGCAGGTGTGTGACATGTAGTATATTATGTAATTGATGTGTCCACCATGTGCGGAGAAAAAAAACTAAAGAGTATTCATCTCCTCCTGGTTGTCCCCCCTGCTTGGCAGTCACTTTGACAGCAGTTCATGGCTGCTGGGTGGAAATGGGTAAACCGAATGAAGTAACACAAGAGTGAAAAGACTTTCCCAAGCAGGCTGAGGAATTCATTGTGTGTGTGCCAAAAGTAGAAGGGTGGGCATGAAAACGGCCTGACCGGGACATTGGCCAGCTTAGCTTTCCAAAAGACTTCAAAGCCATACAAAATAATTGGGCAGCTTTGCCGAACCAGCCATACAAAGACTCTGATGGAACATATATATATTTTTTCTCAAATTAGTTGACTTATTGGTAAAGGATTAATGCATGACACAATATTCTTATCTATGGAGCAAGGGGTGGGTGGGGTGGGTGTGGGGAGATGCATAGATACATTAAGAAAGTTATTTGCAATAAAATAAAGGTTTTGGGACAAATTAAGTACAACTTGATGAGCACCCCCCCAGAGCATCGCTCAAGTCACACTATTGTTCCCCAGCGGGTTGGGAATAACTGATGTAGAGCATGTTTGTCCTTCCTCACTTGGAGGAAGACGATCATGGGTTGTCCTCGAACAGGTTGTATGACAAGTCCAAACTTGTTTTGCTACTCGATGAGTTCATCACTCAAATTTCCTCAATGGACTCTTTCGTAGACTCAACCTGAGTCATATAGCGTGATATCTCAAATGTGACATGTAAGGTACAATTTGATATTACATGTTTATATTATATTTCAAAGTTTTTGATTTAAACAGGATACCAATCTCTAAGCAACCAAGTAACGAAGCGATATTTTAAATCAGTAGGATACCTAAAATTTGAAAAGGCTTTTGAATTTGACGAAACCGCTGGCAACTCTGGTGAGCAGGATCTGAGGATTTACTGTGTGCTTTATTTTTTTTTCCCTGTGGCTTTTTTGCTACGCAGATTTTCAAAGAAACACCAGCTCAACGCTGTGTTAAAAGAAAACACGTTACTTTCCGTACTGACCCTAGCATACACACCGTCATGCGTTTAATAGGTATGACTTGTGAACTTACTTTCATGTTTGAAAAACTGGGATGCATGTGACTTATTTGTAGAACGAATCGCATTTGCTCTGTCTTTTCTTAAAAACTGCGTTTCATTAAACTGACACTTTCACACTGAGGCGCATTATTTCCAAACCAGCGATTTCCTGTGACTCAAGTTGTAGGAGCTTTCTTTTCTTGTTTGAGAAAGCATTGTTTGCCGAGCAAAATACTTGATACAGTCAGTCAGAAAAGAAAACTCATACCACATTGGGGGGGATATGGTTGAGATAAAGGAGTGAGAATAGAATACATTGAATTCCTCAGATATCGACTTAAGTTGTTCATGGTTGTAATCAGAAAAGGGCAAATGCAAAAGACGATAAAACACCTCAAAGACTTGACACGACCATTCTGCTATGTCATGGCCAGGGTGTTTGGCGTGTGAGCCGGGTCAGGGTAAGGCTGTCTGGTACTGAAGGTGTCATGTTAATCCTAATGAGAGTGCATCCCGGAACCCAAATCCCTTCAGGAAAGGTTAAGGACGACCGTCGTCCAAAACAACCTCGGCAGAATGACTTAAATTCGGAGGAGCTCATTGGCTGATGAGAGCACCTGCTGACACAGAAAGGCATGGCCCAGAAAGGAGGAACAAAGAGCACGACAGACAACCCCCGCCCGCCCGTCTGCATGAAGATGGAATGAGAGGCAATGCAAATGTTTAGTTGCTGGAGAGCTGAGGCGGCCTAACTGCTCTGTATTCTGTGACGGCTCACCCTTGTTGCAGTCTTTGCTCAAGTCTTTCTCTTTCAGGAGGTTGTTTTTGTAATCTGTGTAGTGCGCGCGCACGCGCACACACACACACACACACACACACACACACATACATTACATCACTGATGTGTACACTAGTCTACGCCGACTACATTGTCTGCCGAGATTGCTCGTTCATGCATGCTTTGTAGGAGCCCCAATTTCCAAACCTGCCAGTCAAAGCCAACACAATCACACATGCTTTTGGCACTAAACCATCTTCACTTGTGAATTAATACATTGTACCCTTTGGGTTTTTGCTGCGCGTAATATTTTTTTTTCTGCTTGAGTTATCTTATTTGTACAAGGGTAAATTGAAAGTTACTGGATGCACTGTGTTCATATCCAGTCCTAATATTTGTTAACCATAATAGTTGTTCTTCCCTGTTTAATCTGCTGCTCCCATGACGTGAAGTAAGCAGCAGAAGTTGGGCGCATGAATGGTATCTGACCGAGTTCCCTATTTTGTCCGCAGAAATACATCATGGATGAAATAGTCATTGCAGGTATATCGGGCCGGTTGCCCGAGTCCAACAACCTGGAGGAATTTTGGGAGAATCTCATCAATGGGGTGGACATGGTGACGGAGGACGATCGCAGGTGGACACCAGGTGAGTGCATACAAGGGTACGGTGGCTGGGCGATGAAATAAGATTTATTTGGCCGATGCGGTACATCAGTGAAGTCGCAGAAGCAACTTCGCTAACAGCTAGCAAGTTGTACTTTTTTTTTTTTTTTTAAACAGTGTAGCTTATCCAGGTTGTATGATTACACAGTGCCGTTTTTCAGGAATCCCAACTCCTTGTCAGTCTGAGTGGTTTATTTTGCTCTAAGCAGAATTATTACGAAGAAGGAAAACAACCAGACTGGCGATAAAACCCTGAATATCATATTGTTGTCATTATTTCATCAATAGCTTGACACTGATGGTAAAAAAAATTACAATGGAACTCATGTAACTTCAATGTTTGAATTTTTAGGCCTTTACGGTCTCCCAAAGAGGAACGGCAAACTGAAAGACATCAGCCATTTTGATGCCGCATTCTTTGGAGTTCATCCCAAACAAGCTAACACCATGGACCCTCAGCTCCGTCTCATGCTGGAGGTCGCTTACGAGGCGATAGTTGATGGAGGTAAGGACCCTAGCTGAACATTTTCCAGTGAGAAATTTCAAGTGGGGTAGCAAAACGTATGATTGTATAGGTTTGCTGGAGTGTAAAATCCAATATATAAATCCCTGACGATCACCTTGTGTTGCGATGCAGGACTGAACCCCACCACTCTGCGCGGCAGTAAAACGGGCGTCTACATTGGGGTGAGCGGTTCAGAGGCCGGGGAGGCGTTGAGCAGAGACCCAGAGGAGCTTCTCGGCTACAGCATGACCGGTTGCCAGCGTGCCATGTTGGCCAACAGACTCTCCTACTTCTTCGATTTCAACGGTACACCCGTGGCCTGAAATTGTATTCTTTCGCTGTTGACCTCCATCCCATAGTTTATGTCTCGTCAATGATCATGTCAGTCTCAGATCACCTTGTTTGTCACGACTACGTGCTAAGCGTTATGCGGTTGGCAATATTTCCGCTTTGAGAGTCACTGTTCCACCAAAGCAAAAAACTTACCTTCTCAGCATCCGTGCTCTCTTAAAGGGGAAGCCAAGCCAAGTGAAAATTTTGTAAATAATAAGGGCTGGGCTTATGAACGTCACTTGACCAAACCCAGAAAACGGGTGACCTGTGATTGGTCGCCGCCCGAGCCCGTATGCACTGTGGTGTAATTTTCAGTCAACAGGAAGCGGCAAAATGGCCGCCCACATGATGGATAAAAATAGGGGGGATTTTACAGCTTAATTTATGATAGGCAATATTAATTAGAATACCGTGTTTAGACTAGTGAAGATGTATCAAACATGCTATTGTAAAGAACATTTTTGGTTTCATTTCTCCTCCTCGGTCCTGTTGCAGGCCCCAGCACAGCCATCGACACAGCCTGCTCCTCCAGCTTACTAGCTTTAGAAAATGCCTTCCAAGCCATCCGCTTGAGTCACTGCGACGCCGCCTTGGTCGGGGGCGTCAACCTGCTACTCAAGCCAAACACCTCGGTGCAGTTCATGAAACTCGGCATGCTCAGTCCCGACGGCACCTGCAAGTCCTTTGATTCCTCAGGTAAACAAAAACATTTTGATCACGAGCGAAACAGAAACATGCATTCAACGCGACGGTACATTTTGAGATTCTTCTCATTCTGTTGTCAAGGTAACGGATACTGTCGCTCTGAGGCGGCGGTGGTGGTGTTGTTGACGAAGCGGTCGGCGGCTAAGAGAGTTTATGCCACAGTGTTGAATGCCGGAAACAACACAGATGGATACAAAGAACAGGGTGAGAGGAAGGAGGGGGGGGGTACACTGTCCACAATAAGAACACAAGTTCAGCAAGAGCAGCGTGTTGAATGATTTGTTGCTTCTCATAAAGGATGAATTGACTAACATTAGGTCAGCGCTGCTTAATTTAAAAAAAATATTTAACCTCTTCATTGTTTGGATTTAGTGGCACATCTGCTTACAATCTGGGATTCCAGGTTCGAATCCCAATCAGAATATCTCTTTTGAGTTTGCACATTCCTTTCTTGATTTCCTCTCATAGCTACAAAATTTGCATACTCGGTGAATTAAAGACACTAAATTGCCCATCGGTGTGAAGAGGCGATTGTGCATATTTGTTATTGCAACTGTCCAGGGCGCACCCTTTCTCTTGCGAGTATTCCAAGTGTCATCGTATGTGGAGAGCGTTGTCACACTGATTCCTCTTTGTCTTATAGGAGTAACGTTTCCTTCCGGTGAGATGCAGCGGAATCTCGTTCATTCTCTCTATCAAGAGGCAAATATCACACCCGAGCAGGTTGAGTACATTGAAGCCCACGGCACTGGAACAAAGGTCAGTGCATTGGACTCCCTGTTGTGTGTGAATTTTAAAATCTGCATCGTGATTTTTCTTTTATTTTTTTTTGTTTGCAAACCAAACCTCAACCTAAATTAACTTATTGTCTATTCAAAGCTGGATCCGCCCTCAAGTGGGATGTTTGTGCTCTGAACTTGCAGGTCGGTGACCCGCAGGAAGTTGGCGGGATTGTCAGTGTGTTCTGTCAATCAAATCGAGGGCCACTACTTATTGGGTCCACCAAGTCCAACATGGGCCATCCAGAACCGGCATCTGGGCTGGCTGCCATAGCAAAGGTAAGAGGGAGATGATGTGGTGTTTTGGTTGGTTGGTGAAATTAATACAATATTAATTTGATGTGTTCATAAATGTACATATGGTATTTTGCTCCGGGGGTTCGATCATATTTTTTCGTGAAAAAGAAAAAAAAAAAGGATTTCGTTTAACGCAGAGAGAATTTCTTAAAACAAGTATCAAAAAGGAGGCGACTTAGACACGTATTGTGTTTGCGACGAAGTCAGAATAAAAGCATCAGCAGTCTGCAGCCATCTGCCCATGAGTAAGAGTCAAGGGGAATGTTGTTCTTAAGTATTGGTATGTATTGCATCCTATTTAACCGACCTGCGAAGACGAGAAGACTCGCTCGACAAAGTTGTCATTATCTTATGTCGGTTGGGCCTCATGCGCTTGCAACTTGGAACGTAATCTAATCGACAACTCACATTGTTACGCTCTCATTATCAAAGAAGCGCTACATTGTTAGCAGAAAGTATGCGCACAAAGCACACTTAACGGGTGCAGACTCGAAGATCACACCAGGGTCACACAGAATCCGTCACCAAAACACAGAGAAATGAATGGAAAGGGTGAATAACAAATCTAATAATGGATTACAAGCAATATTGATGTGATTCATAATACAATACATCTTTCTTTATAAAGCGCAACTGTTACAAAGCCCTTGACAGATTATTTCATATAAAATAACCAAAATGTCTTGATCCTATGTGTAGGTGTTGCTCTCTCTGGAGAAAGGAGTTTGGGCCCCCAACCTGCACTTCAACAGTCCGAACACTGACATTCCTGCCCTCACCGATGGCCGCGTGCAAGTGGTTGACCGGCCTATACCTGTTCGCGGCGGCATCGTAGGCATTAACTCCTTTGGATTCGGAGGTTCAAATGTCCACGTCATCCTTCGTCCCAACGAGAGGAGCGCTCAGACGCAGGGCGACACCGGCGCACCAACCAGGACGGTCCCTCGTCTGCTTCAAGCTTGCGGCCGGACAGAGGCTGCTGTGAACTCGCTGCTCCAAAAAGCAAAGGAAAACAGTCTGGATGATAGCTTCCTGTCTTTGCTCAATGGAGTGTCTGGAAGTCCCGCTGCTGCTATGCCCTATCGAGGCTACACACTGATCGGCTCTCAGACGGACAGCACCGAAGTGGAGCAGGTGCAGGCCACACCTAGACCCCTCTGGTACATATGCTCAGGTGAGACCATTAGGCGGGGGGGGCACTCGAGTACTCAAACTGATATTCTGATACTCCCAAACAACAATATGAAATCCGGTTGAACTCTGGATCAACTCTAATAAATAGCACTTTTCGCATTGTGTGGTATCGCAGGCATGGGGACACAGTGGGCGGGCATGGGTCGCAGTCTCATGCAGCTACCAGACTTCAGAAAATCCATCATGCGCTCGGACATGGCCCTGAAGGAAACGGGCCTGGTCGTGTCCCAACTTCTCATGGAGGCCGATGAAGCGGCTTTCGAAGATACCGTTCATTCCTTTGTTGGTCTCGCTGCCATACAGGTAAAGGTGCAACTGTTTTGGCGGCGAAGAAAAAAAAGAATGCTGTCTTCTTTGTACGGCTCCAAGGATGACGTTTTAACACTTGCGTGGTCTGCGCCTCGCCCGGTTGCAGGTAGCTCAGATAGACCTGCTCACTAAGCTGGGTCTTCAGCCCGACGGCATTGTGGGCCACTCGGTGGGAGAGCTGGCTTGCGGCTACGCAGACGGTTCCCTCAGCCAGGAGGAAGCCATCCTGGCTGCGTACTGGAGAGGGCGTTGCATCAAAGAGGCCGATCTTCCTCCTGGAGGCATGGCTGCAGTGGGTAAGCGGAAGCCCTCTTTCCTGGTCATAATCTAGTTTCTATCATTCTATATATTCTTTACATAGATTATAGTGATTTGATGCTATGCAGAATGGCGGGGGTTAGTTGTTAGCAAGTTCTGCCAATCGCCATTGGGGATAGGCTTCAATTTTACCTGAAGCCTTTATTGGAGCAACTGCTGTAGAAAATGGATGGATTATTTATTTGTTTGTTGATGTTTCAGGTTTGACCTGGAAGGAGTGTATCGCTCAATGCCCCAAGGGCGTCGTCCCAGCCTGCCATAATGCCGAGGACACAGTCACTATATCTGGTCCTCAGGTCAGACATCTTTGCACACCGTTCTGTAGAGTCACAAAAAGGAATAACCACTTGGCTTTGAAATGGATAAACTGATGTGGTGTGTTTATTAAATAGGAGGCGGTCAGCAAGTTTGTGGCCGAGCTCAAAGAGCAGGGAGTGTTTGCAAAGGAGGTGCGCAGTGCCGGTGTGGCTTTCCACTCGTACTACATGGCATCCATCGCTCCGGCCCTCTTAGCTGCCCTCAAGAAGGTATTCACATCACCTTTTTCAACATGATTCCATGACTGTGATTGAAACATGCTGTCGTGTTCTGCTATTAGATACTGATAAATACTTGATGGAACGGTCGTCGTTCTTTTGGCGACAGGTCATTAAGAGTCCAAGGCTGCGTTCATCCCGTTGGGTGAGCACCAGCATCCCTCAGTCGGAATGGGACACTCCCCTGGCGCTTTACAGTTCGGCCGACTATCATGTCAACAACCTCGTGAGCCCGGTGCTGTTCCACGACGGCCTCAGCCTGGTGCCCGTCAATGCCGTCGTGTTGGAGATAGCGCCTCATGCTCTTCTTCAGGTGATTGTTTTCGTCATCTTTTATTTTTGTTGTCGTTTTGATTCAGGAGATAGATTGGTAATCGTTAAACACTCTTCCCTAGGCCATCCTGAAGCGTAGCCTGAAGCAATCATGTACTTCACTTCCCCTCATGAAAAGAGGTCATCCCAATAACCTGGATTTTTTTCTCTCAAACATTGGCAAACTTTACTTGAACGGGTCAGTGTCTGCATTCCATGACAACGGCTCTCTTGGGAGCACATTCTGATGACTGACATTCCAATTCTTTGCGCATCTTCTTTAGCATCAACGTGGACGTCAACACTTTGTGTTCCGAAGTGAAATACCCCGTGCCAGTTGGCACCCCGATGATTTCTCCCTTGATGCGGTGGGACCATTCTCAGACATGGGATGTCCCCAAGGCGGAGGATTTCTCCTCTGGCTCTGGATCGAATTCCGCCATTGTCTACAGCATCAGTATGGACTGGAAATCTGCTTTCCTTTGGGTTGATTCAGGAAGATGCGTGGCAATGTTTTCACTGACCATTTTATTTTTCTGTGTCCAATTCTAATTGACAGACATGAATCCGGAATCTCCAGATTATTATCTGATCGGACACTGCATCGATGGGCGTGTCGTTTACCCAGCGACAGGTTACTTGGTGCTGGCCTGGCGCACCTTAGTGAGAAGTCTAGGAGTTCCCATGGACACGACGCCTGTGACGTTTGATGATGTCACCATCCACAGGGCCACAATTCTCCCAAATATGGGTGAGGAGTACAAGCCTGAGGATGCTGTTGTGTGAGAATTCATTTTTGCAGGGTTTCCACAGAGTGGAGCCAAAAAAAAAAAAAAAACATGGCCCAAAATGAGATAAAAATCTAAAATTCATGATTGTCAATGATTTTTTTTTAAGTGAGGAAATGGATGTATTTCGCTATTGAAGAGAAATATTCATATCCAACTGTAAAACAGTCAACGTTGCAGTGACGGTTTGGACATTCTGCTCTTGACAGGTGTTGTCCAGTTGGAAGTGCGTTTCATGCCTGCCACGAACAAGTTTGAAATTTCAGAGAACGGAGACCTGGCCGTCAGTGGTAGGTAGTTTTACATTTAACTAGAAGTTAAAATGATGAAACAACCTACTGAGTTGCCAGATGTAGCGACCAGACACCAATCTTTTGTATTTGGCAAATTAAGACTTGTATTATGATGACACGACGCCTGTGACGTTTGATGATGTCACCATCCACAGGGCCACAATTCTCCCAAATATGGGTGAGGAGTACAAGCCTGAGGATGCTGTTGTGTGAGAATTCATTTTTGCAGGGGTTTCCACAGAGTGGAGCCAAAAAAAAAAAAAAACATGGCCCAAAATGAGATAAAAATCTAAAATTCATGATTGTCAATGATTTTTTTTTAAGTGAGGAAATGGATGTATTTCGCTATTGAAGAGAAATATTCATATCCAACTGTAAAACAGTCAACGTTGCAGTGACGGTTTGGACATTCTGCTCTTGACAGGTGTTGTCCAGTTGGAAGTGCGTTTCATGCCTGCCACGAACAAGTTTGAAATTTCAGAGAACGGAGACCTGGCCGTCAGTGGTAGGTAGTTTTACATTTAACTAGAAGTTAAAATGATGAAACAACCTACTGAGTTGCCAGATGTAGCGACCAGACACCAATCTTTTGTATTTGGCAAATTAAGACTTGTATTATGATCCCATCTCTCATTAACATTTTATTTTTCTTGCGATAAATTTGATCAAAATCTGGACGTTCAGTGTTCTGATACATATTCTGTAATTTTCAGGAAAAGTCAGCATTCTGGAGGATGCGGCCCTAGATTCGTTCCATAGTCAATTGAACCAGGAAGCTCTGAAAACCAGCGAGGACCCCAAACGGAAACTTCTGGCGCACGATGTATACAAGGAACTGCGACTGCGCGGTTATGAGTATGGCAAAACTTTCCAAGGCATCTTGGAATCTAACAATGCCGGTAGGTTTTTGAGTCCAAAGTGTGTCATGTTTTTTTGGTCCACTTTGGATCGTAGGGATGTAGCTAAGGAAGTCGCCAATGCATTTTGGATCAGATTCAAAATAACCGATCCAGGACTTCATTATCATTATGATACCACTAACTTTTAACTGTCATGGATGACAGTAGACACTCCTGCCACCTACAGGCAAAAGGTTTTTCGGTCTGCGTGTTAGTACGAGCGGATCAGAGTTTGAAAACTCCACGATCGCAAATTTTCTTTCTCCAGGTAACAATGGGAAGTTGCAGTGGATGGGGAACTGGGTCACCTTTCTGGATACCATGCTGCAGATGATTGTTGTCGGGCTCTCCGGCCGGAGTCTACGTGTGCCAACCAGGATTCGCTCGGTATGCATCGATCCCGCGATCCAGCTGGAAAAGGTCGGCGAGTATGCTGACGGAAAACTAGGTACGTGTTCCACTAATACTGGTAAGATGTTGGGCACTGATGTATTTAGCATCTAAATCAGGGGTGTCAAATCCAAATTCACAGAGGCCCGAAATTAACACGTCGCACTCCAAACTCAATAGTTATTGAAAAATAGACTTGATTTTATCTGAACAGTTTCCCGTGAAACCACACTCATTTTCATCTCTTTTCACATCGAATGTTTTTGTAATTTATTCATGACATAACAGCATCCTAATAAAGCGTAAGGCTCAATCTTAACAGGACTTTTCTCTCACAAATATTCCGATAGCTGTGACAGTCCACCTCAACCGCTACCTTGACAAAATCACAGCCGGTGGAGTACAGATCAGCGGCCTTCACGCGACTGTGGCGCCCCGTCGACAGCAGCAGCAGCAGAACCCCCCCACCCTGGAGGAGTTCCTGTTGGTTCGCTATGTGGAGACAGAGTGCCTTGCAAACGACAGGAAACTTGTAGAGCAGCTGAAGCTTTGCAAAGGTACTTCTCTAAAACCTTCCTTGTATTATCTAACATGGCGTTGCATTGTGAGGTAGTGGTTTTTTTTTTTCCTCCACTTTAATGTCCAAAGCCGGTGTTGTAAATTTATAGTTGATTAGAATTTCCTAGATCGTCATAGAATTATGTAAATGAGTTTAGAATTCTTCAATAAAATCAGGGCTACAGTGAGTAGTCTTAAAAAAAAATGGCTCAAAAAATTCTTTTTGAGGCTTTGTAACTGGCTTGCCATTTTTATTTTTATTTTTTTAACATTAAATTTGGATAAGGTCTGAACAACTTTGGTCTTCGGGGTTTTTTTTTTCTCCTCCGGACAAAAATTTGCTGAATAGCCTGTTTTGTTTTAGTCATGCTTTGACAGTTTAGCTAACTATGCATGAAGGTAAAATTCAACAAAAGAAAAATATGTTCTCAGCCCATTGTCCATGTTGTCTTTGACCCGTTGTCTCCATCAAGGATTAATCCACAAACTGCAGCAAAAGATGGCACCTCATGGACTGAAGCTCTGCATCCCAGGGCTACACGGGGTGTCGGAAAGCTCGCCTCCCGGCCCTGAATCCTCTGAGCCAGGCTTGATTCGGTTACTCACCATGCTCTGTGACCTGGAGCTGAATGGGAACCTGAGTTCAGAGCTGGCGCAGACGGTGGGAAACGAAAGGGCGTGTCTTCTGCAAGACGGTCTGCTGCGCGGTCTTCTGGATGGACCGGCACTCAGGCACTGTGTGGACATTGCCATGGAAAACAGCGCGCCTGGCAAGATCAAAGTCCTGGAAGTAAGAAATTGAACATATAAGTCTGTCGTCAATACATATTGGCAATTAAAATTTCCAATGTATCTCTTGTCAGGCACTATCCAGTGATGGTCAGCTCTTCTCCCGTGTAGTCGGACTCCTGAATATCCAGCCCATGTTGCGTGTGGATTATGTTGCCACGGCAACGGACCAGGACCTTCTCGCCCCCCACCAGATCCACCTAGAGGAGCTCGCGGTCACAACAGCACAGTGGGACCCTCTCTTGGGCCCAGCTCCCGGAGGTTCAGCTGACCTGGTGGTGTGTAACCATGCCTGGGGCCCTTTAAGGGGAGACCCTCATCTGCTGGTGACAAATCTAGCTTCTGGAGCCAGGCAAGGAGGATTTGTTCTCCTGCACACATTGCTTAAGGGGGATACCCTTGGGGAAACCGTAAGCTTCCTCTCCAGAGTCAACGACACCACCAGTAAGCAAGGACTGCTCACACAGGTCAGTGGAGAGGACACGCAAATCTCCTGACAGCTACATGAATGTTTTGCTCTCTGCGTGTGCATTCTGTCTGTTGCAAGTGTAACATCTGAACGTGCTGTCATCCATCTCTCTAGGCTGAATGGGAGAAAGTGTTTTCTGAGGCTTCACTCACCCCGGTGGCTGTCAGGAAGTCTTTTTATGGCTCGGCGCTCTTTTTATGCCGCCGGCTGGGTCCTGCCAAGCAACCAGTTGTCCTCGCGGTTGATAGTGCCGACTACAAGTGGGTCGAAACGCTCAAGGTCCGTTCCGCGGCTTCCTCTGGGGTTTTGTCATGCCTACCGGTTCGCCGTATTTCAAAACGTCATCGATGTCGCTCTTGAGCTGAGTGTTTCTTTGTTGCTCTTGGAACAGGCAACACTTGCAGAGTCCTCAGACTCGCCGGTGTGGTTGACTGCTTCTCAGCCCCACAGTGGCATTGTGGGAATGGTCAACTGTCTGCGGCAGGAACCCGGCGGCCTCCGAATACGGTGCGGCTCGGACTTACCACAGTATAACCTAGTACTCACATTGCCGGTCCTTCACGTAAATAGAGGCTGTATTTTCCCTACATGTGGACAGCTGGATGTCATCAGCCGACTTTCAGTCCAAAACTGAATTAAATCTTTTTCGAAATGAGTGTTGACTAAAAGCTGTGTTAGTACCTGGCGGCACTGGAATGTCCTGCCAGGTTGTCACCATGGCGATGAATCTTCAGGATGCACTGAATGTAGACTGTGTAGATTTTTTTTTTATAGCTACAGTAACCGTTGTTATTAATTGTCCCCGTCTGTGCGATATTTCCCAGATGTGCATTTGTGTCAAATCTAAACGGCTCATCAGAAGCGCCGACGCTCCAGGTTGACGATCCATCCATGCAAGCGGTGCTCAAGGGCGACCTTGTCATGAACGTATTCCGAGACGGATGCTGGGGCGTTTTCAGACACCAACTCATAACTCTTGGTATAAAATGTGCACACCACACTTCTAATTTAAAGCTAAACACTGTTCTGTGTTTGTGTGTACATACAGGAGTGCCTGAATATTTTGAAGGGATTTTTCTTGATCAGTTAGACGTACAATCCGGCTAACGTTAAATGACTTTGTCTTTTGTGTTTTTGAAGACGGAAATGAAGAGTTGACGGAACACGCCTATGTCAATGTATTGACTCGGGGAGACCTTTCGTCACTGAGCTGGATTGCCTCGCCGCTCCGCCATTTTGTACCCGCCGGCCCGAATGTGGAACTGTGTCGCGTCTATTACAGCTCGCTCAACTTCAGAGATGTGATGCTCGCCACGGGCAAGCTGCCACCAGATGCTATTCCAGGTAAATCCTCCGTGGAAACTGAAGAAAGAGTCTTTTCTTTCCAATAAAAATAGTTAAAAGAAAAAGAGCTTCTGTTACGATGAACTAAAACACAGTTTCCAAAATGTCCCCGTTGTGCAGGGGACTTGGCACTGCAGCAGTGCATGCTGGGTATGGAGTTTTCCGGTCGTGATCCCGACGGTCATCGTGTGATGGGCCTTCTGCCAGCGAAAGGCTTGGCGACATGCGTGGATGCTGATAAAAGATTCCTCTGGGATGTCCCCTCTAGCTGGTTAGTGTCAACATTTCGTACGTGTCGGTTCATGTGGGGGGGTGGGGGGGGGGGGAGCAGCTCCCAGTGATCTATCACTGGTCGTTTGTAGTCATGTCCACATCGTTTTCTGGTCATTTAGGATTTGTATGACTGCCGTATGACACGATGGTAACATCATGTGTCCAGCACGTCTGTCAAAAATCAATACATGGGCTGATCATCAGTGTCTCGCCGCTGTCGTCGAGTCAGCTTGAAGTTTAGGGAGCGATGCTCTTGCGAGTATTTATTCTCTCTTGATGTGCAGGACTCTGGAGCAGGCTGCCTCCGTGCCGGTGGTCTACGCCACAGCCTACTACTCTCTGGTGGTTCGCGGCGGGCTGCGCCCTGGAGAAAGTGTTCTCATCCACTCGGGGTCGGGGGGAGTTGGGCAGGCCGCCATCGCCATTGCCCTCAGCAAAAATTGCAAAGTCTTCACAACAGTTGGTAAGTTGGTGATTGGTGAATGTGAAGTATGTGGTGTTTTGAATTTTCTCGTTCGGCGATACACAGCAAACAAAGCTTTTCCTTGGCTTTCGTGTTGGTAGGCTCAGCGGAGAAGCGCGCTTACCTGCAGGAGAGGTTCCCCCAGCTCTCGGCAGATTCCTTCGCTAATTCCCGGGACGCATCGTTTGAACAGCACGTCCTTCTGCACACTGAGGGCAAAGGTTTGTGTCGTCCGTATTTTTTCTTGGTGTTCAAGTTTTTGTCCATATGATGCATGTGGCATCCATTGTGTGCAATGTATATCATGTTTCAGGTGTGAACGTGGTGCTGAACTCTCTGGCTGAGGAGAAGCTGCAAGCTAGTCTTCGCTGTCTTGCACGACATGGACGATTCCTGGAGATTGGCAAATACGACCTTTCCAACAACTCGCCCCTCGGTCAGTATGAAGGCAGATTAAGACTTGAGGCTTAACCCCTAGAAAAACCCGCACGGCGGCAGGACTGACTGGTTTTGGTTCACGAATGGAGTCGAAACATTCACTTCTCCAGGCATGGCGCTGTTCTTGAAGAATGTGGCATTCCACGGCATCTTGCTGGATGCTCTCTTTGAAGAGGGCAATCGTGAGTGGGAGGAGGTGTCGCAGCTGCTCCAGGGGGGCATCGCGGGAGGCGTCGTCCAGCCTCTAAAGACCACAGTCTTCGAGAGGGACCAAGTCGAGGAGGCGTTTCGATACATGGCCCAAGGCAAACATATTGGCAAAGTTCTTCTGCAGGTTAGTCACAATTCTGACTGTCAAACCAAGTCTTCCATTCGACGAGATTTTGCAATTCCTCAAAAAAACGAATGTGATGAATTGAAAAAGCACAGTAGTTAAGACATACTTTGACTGTTGGGCGTGTCACACAGGTGTGTCACGAGGAGACAGATACATCCGTCCAAACCGCGTTCCCTTTAGCGATCCCGGCCCTCCGTCGTACCTACTGCCTCGCCTCCCACTCGTACATCATCACCGGGGGGCTCGGCGGCTTCGGCCTCGAGCTCGCTCAATGGCTGACTGAAAAGGGAGTCCGCAAGCTGGTGCTAACTTCCAGATCCGGGATCAGGAATGGTAAGGCGTGAATGAGAAGAGATTACAATTTGTGACGGCGGCTTCCGTGACTTAACTCAAAGCTGACCGCATACGATTGAGTCTTGTGTTATTTTGGTCGTTCAACTTGTTGCCAGGTTACCAAGCAAAGCGTGTGAGCGAATGGCAAAGTCAGAATGTGGAGGTGTTGGTCTCGACCAGTGACGTCGGCACACTTGAGGGAGCGGAAAAGCTCATTGCCGAGGCCTGCAGGCTGGGTCCAGTTGGTGGGGTCTTCCACCTTGCCATGGTAACCATTCTCTTCAGTCTTGACATAAAATAGCGATTTTTTTTTTTTTTTTTTTTTTTAACACATTGAAAAGTCAAATTCCAAAAAGTGCACCAATTTGAGCTTGAGTTGAAATATTAAATATGTTTGTAATTCATTTGGCCACTCTGCCGCCACATTGTTCTATGTGAGTCACAAATGATGTCAATCACTTTTATTTTTATTTTTTCTTATCTCCAGGTTTTGAAAGATGGCTTGTTGGAGAATCTGACTCCTCAGCACTTCCTTGATGTGAACAAACCGAAATACGATGGCACCTTGAACCTTGACAAGTAAGTTCCATGTTCCGCCACCTTCTTTTTTTTTTTTTTTTAAATTAGATTACCGGTAGATGGAAGGCGTCGACGAATGTTATTGATCCACTTACACTCCCTCTCCAGAGTCACAAGAAAATCCTGTCCAGAGCTGGCTTATTTCGTTGCATTCTCATCTGTAAGCTGCGGCCGCGGCAATGCCGGCCAAAGTAATTACGGTTACGCCAACTCTGCCATGGAGCGCGTGTGTGAGAAGAGGCGTCACGATGGCCTTCCTGGACTCGCAGTCCAATGGGGGGCCATTGGGGATGTGGGCGTGGTGCTGGAGAGTATGGGTGGCAACGACGCCGTGATTGGTGGCACCCTCCCGCAGAGGATGGCTTCTTGCCTGGATGTGCTCGACCACTTCCTGTGCCAGCGGAGCCCCGTGATGTCAAGCTTTGTGCTAGCGGAGCGCATTGTGGCAAAGAGCGAGGCGGGGAGCCAGAAGGACTTGGTGGACGCTGTAGCTCACATTCTGGGTAATTTTCCAACACTTGATTTTGGATTATTAATTTATGGAATGGAAATGAAAAGTTTTAAATGGTTGTTTTAAGTTAGCTTCGTGTTGTTTTTCGGTTTTGGTTTGATAAATGCGGTGACCTTACCCATACAATCTGATGCACTTCCTCCTAAGGCGTGCGCGATGTCAACAGCCTGAACGCCGATGCCTCATTGGCTGACTTGGGCCTTGACTCGTTAATGGGCGTGGAGGTGCGCCAGACTCTCGAGCGCGACTATGACATCGTTATGGCCATGAGAGAGATCCGGCAGCTTACTATCAACAAGCTGCGTGAACTGTCCAATAAGAAGCCAGAAGGATCAAATGGTAACTTAACATTTCATCATGTGTATATATCGTCACATATCTCTGAAGTGACATATGACTGTTATTTATTGAACAAAGTATGTCAATTAAAAAGCTGTCATGTACTTAAATTTCCTGGCTAAAATGTCTCCATGCCACAGTGAAAAAGGACGTCGTTCGAACCTTGTCGGAGTCGAGTCTGACAGAGCTACTCGTCAACCCAGACGGCCCCACGGTGACGTCACTCAACGATGTGCAGAACCAGGAGAGGCCGCTCTTCCTCGTGCACCCAATTGAGGGCTCCATTGCTGCCTTCAAGACACTTGCCTCCAAGCTTGACGTGCCTTGCTATGGCTTGCAGTGCACCAAAGGTACTGTCAGAGATACATGTCGATACCTTTTACCATCTCTTCTGTTGTATATATATAAGACAAAGTATCTTCTTTTTTTCCTACTTGTATGACTAGACTGACATTTAAAAAAAATTATATACACAGTATATTCATCAAGTTCATAACTTCCCTTCCCAGATGCTCCGCTGGACAGCATCCAATCACTGGCAGCCTACTATGTAGATTGCATTCGACGCGTCCAGCCCGATGGGCTGTACCGAATCGCCGGCTACTCATTTGGCGCGTGCGTGGCGTTTGAAATGTGCACTCAGCTGCAGAGGCAGAAACTGCCCGTGGAGAATCTCTTCCTGTTCGACGGATCACACTCATACGTGGCGGCCTATACGCAGGTTAGAGGTGCAAATACTCTCGCATGACATGATTTAGTTCCAGCCCAAATTTAAGGAGCGCTCAGCATTGAGTACAGCCTTTTATAAAGGTATGCTTTTTGGTTTAATATCTTTTTTTTTTTTTTTTAAACCACATCAACCTGGCATTTAACCGGGGTGTGTAGACTTTTCATATCCACTGTGGATGGATGATGGATGGATAGTTTATTCACTCATGCTGTGAGGGGAAATTACATTTAAGAAAGTCATTTCTTTTCAGAGCTACAGGGCCAAGCTAACACCAGACAAAGAATCCGAGGCTGAAACTGAAGCCTTGTGCGCCTTCATCCAGCAGTTCATGGACACCGAGTACAGCAAGGTGAACAACTTTGGCATGTTAACACAGTCACAAAATCTGTGGTTTCCTTATTAAATGTGACACTGGGCTGGTTAAGAAAATGTGTTAGCATTGTTTCTCATCCTTATCATTGTCTCCCTCAGCTTCTTGATGCTCTTCTCCCACTTCCGGACTTGGAGGCTCGGCCGTACACCGCCGCGGG